GGTGGGGATGGAGAGGGTGCGGGGGTGGTAGATTAGGTGGAGGAGTGGGGGTGGACGGCGCTGTGGGTGGCTTTTTGGAGCTGCATAGAGCTGGAAAGGATGCGACGAAGGGTGAGGTTATAAGTTTAGAACAATGAGAACTTACGTTTCCAGGCGCATCGATAGCACCGCCCATGACGACTACCTCCTTGACCTTCAAGAACGTCTCGGGATCTTGCGCAGCAGCGATAGCAAGATTGGTCAGCGGCCCAACTGCCACAATAGTAACCGTATCGGGCTCATTCTCCCTCAACAAGTCGAGCATGACTTCGTGCGCGGGCTTCAGCGATGGCGTGAAGAGCGAGTGTTTCTCCTTGACCTTTTGTAGCGCCTTGGTTTCTTCAGCCGACATGTTCTTCGGCTGAGGCGTGAAGAGCGATTTCCATGTCTCTTCTGGTGAGAGATGTGGGTGCTGGATTAGGTCAGTTCTCAAGTTTTTATATCGTGCCGAAGACAAAGAACTTACACTGTGATGTATACCTCCCAGCCCATCGATCCCATCTACACCACGTCAGCCACTCGCTTTCTCCATTCATCTTGAGTATGTTCAACTTACGGAAGAAGTCCGCGACCATCATATGTTCCGCCAATGGCTCTTCAGCACCAACAGCAACTATCACAGATTAGCACCAACTCCCTTTTTACATCATCACCTGCGATTAGACTCACCAATAGGTTTCCTCGCACTCAACGTCTCAAACCCCTCCGGCCTGCCATTCTCCTTCCGCCACGCCCTCTCTTTCTCAATATAATGGAACAGCGTGACCACATTGCGGAGACAACTATTATTTCGTCAGTCAATCCATCTCTCCTCACTCCTCCCCCGAACACAACATCCATCCAGCGTGTATCTCGAACCCAATTCCAACACGACTCCCTCTATACTACCCAAACAAAACATATCGAGAAGAAAACACAAGTAGCAAACGGAGATAGGATAATGCAAACATACTTCTTAACCTCCACATTCCCAAACGTCAAACTCAACATGAGAATATCCAACTCCTCGCTCTTAGCCGAGAACGCCAGGAGCATAGCCAGGATATCATCGACGCCCTAATCATTATTCTTATGTCAGCCCCATATCCCATCTTCTCAATCACTCTCAAATCATCGAGTTCGGTGTCGCCCCTTCCTATTCCCGCATCCCCCACCGCCTTCTCTACCCCGCACTTTCGCACATGGAAAGTAACTCACAGGGTCCGTATCGATGATAATCTTATTCGGTGCCATCTTATCTGTATATCTGTCGAAAGCTAGGGATGTGGAAGAAGTGTTGTGTGTAGAATAGTTGTTTGTTGGTTTGGCTGTTCTGTGAATGTACCAAGGTACGTAAGTATGGATACATGTACGATTATCTAACTAGTGGCGCGCCTCGCGTCTAGATAACCCTACCAGCCTACACCAAACCGCGCATGGCAGGTGTGTGGCATGCCGCGAACGCGGAGTTCACCGATACCGACATTGACTCCACTTTGACTTTGCGGGTGGGTCCCTAACCCGTGATCATATCTACATGGAAAAGGCGAAGTCGGAATTGGGGGAATATGCATTTGCCATATACGTAAAAGAAGAAAAGCCCGCATCTTCCCCTTTGGAACGTGCGATTCATAAGCCCAAATCGCCATCATATCACTCGCAAGTAAAGAAACAAACGCCGGATTCGTTCCATAATTCTACACAACGTTTGCCCCCCATTTCCCAGATGCCCGGTACAAGGACAACATCCCAATGCAAGGGCTGACGGTTGGAAAACCTGGCGCTTTTTGAAAGCCCAACATCCATTCTTTGCCTGACACCCAATTGCTGTCTAGACTGTTCTGTTCTGGTTTCGTCTTGAAAATGGGATTGCCAAACCGCCATCATCTCTCGCTTTTCCCCACCACGTTCGTTTTTTCCCAATTGAATATCATATATGCGTTTATATATCGAATATAAGGCGACCGTTTCGTTCAAAAAAGCCGAAACACGTGTCGTGATGCGTGAACATGTCCGAGTCTAGTAGACCTTCTTCTTCTCGTCGACGGAAAATTGGCCGGGGCCCATGTTGACCAGCAAGAGGAGACCGCCACTGGAACACCATTAGCAATGCGCTTGTGGATAGCGGAAATGGGGTACTTACACAATGGACAGGATTTGGAAGAAATCGTACTTGGCAAAGTCCTTGTGAGGGTGATGCGGGTGCAGTTTCCACCAATTGTTAACGTAGAGGTTGAAGACGCTGAGAATAAGCACGAGCATAACAGCCGAGAACTTTGCCTTGAAGCCCACAACCACCATGACACACGCCACAAGTCCCAAGAGACTAGCAATGATTCTCCAGAAGCCCCAGTCGCCGCGGAACACGAATCCCACAAAGAGGAAGATGAGCAGGACGCGTCCGGCGAGCTGGAAGTACATCTTCTTGTCCTTTTCGTCGAGCTGGGGAAGGCCGGCGGGCGCAAACTTCTTGCGCACCCACGAGTCCGAGAGCACCATGAGCAGACCGCCCATGACGGACAGGTTGCGCAGGAAGAAGTTGAGGTCGAAGACGAGGCCGTAGCCGATGCCCTGCAGGACCACGACGGTCATGAGTCCCGCTACGCTGTATTCGGAATACTTTCGGAAAATGACGCCGAAGGAACAGACGGTCATGAGGACGATGTTGACGATGAGGAACATGTGCGTGACGCCGTTCCAGACTGCAAACAGAGAGAGACCGTGTTAGCCAATGTTCACGCGCTGCTGCGAGAGGAGGGGTAGAGACGTACTGTGGCGGTAGTCGTGCAGGTACGTGAGCTGGTCGGTCCATTGTGTGATAATGCGCAGGGCATCTTCGAGGAAGGTAACGACGATGAGGAAGCGGCCGATGCCAGGGAGGTATCTGGAGCGAATTAGCCGGTTTCCAGGCGGGCAGCGTCGTGGCACCGTTTCTGAAGACTCACGGCTTGATGGGGTCGAAGACAGTGTCCAGCAGGTCCTCGAGCTTGCTCGTCTGGGCGCGCAGTTGGTCGAGCGGACTGGGGTCGTTCGTGCTGTTGTCGTTGCGCCCCGAGTTGCCAAAGGGGCTCTGGTTGCCCAGATGGTAGCCAGCGGTGCCGCGTATCTGCGCCATGGCTGGTGGTGTAGTAGAGAAGAAGAGAGGGTGGGCGGCGGCAGGTGTAGAGGTGATTGGGTTGCGCTGCTCCGAACAGGTGTCCTTCACGCGATTGACCTTCGGAACGTCAGATTATGTCAGCGGCCTAACCCTTTGCGCCTTACTTTGATGTGTTGAGTCTCACTACTTTCTTCTGTTGCAGGCTAGTAAATTGCAGGGTGGGATTGCTAGCTGGCAGTTGCGCGTGACGGCTGTGAATATATTCTATGCACTCGATATTGCAGAGTGTGGGCTGTTCCCAGGGTTGCTGCGGCGCTGGTTCCTCGGTTCGCGCAACCTACTAGAGTACTACTAAGAGGCCAGATTTCTGCTACTCGACTCTGACTATGGCGTCAGGAGTAGCAGTCGGTACGAAATACCTCCGGACCAATCTTGACTAGCTGATTCACGACTTGGCACGGGCACTTTCAACACGGTGGAGCACGGTTGTATTTATAGCTTTCACCAACGCACGGCTGTACTGCAGACACATGTGTGGGAGGTTTTGTATGAGGAGTTGCAATTCAACAACTACTTTTTCTACCTGCGCGCCTCAACAGTCATTATTCCAGCGTCGGGTACTGATTGATGTTTAAATGTGGTATTGAAGTACAGGACGCGAATGCAAGAAGCCTTTGCAATAAGATCAGATGCAACCCCATACGCCGATGCTTTCATGGCCTGGACAGCAAAGCAGTGGAAGGAACCCATCCGATGATCCAGCCATACCCATGCTTACAAGGACAATTCCACCGTCGTATGAGCTATGCTCGTCCGTCATGCCAAATATGATGCTATCGTGATGAAAGTTGGAGGTGGTCAGATCAACGCCTGAAGATCTCACGTGCGCCAACAGTCTTCAATAGGATAGAAATCGAAAGGTGTATCGTCGTCCAGGGTACGTAAATGTACCCGAGGTCCTGAGACCAGCTGCTGGCTGAGTCATGTTTACCCACTTCACATGACAGCCCAGTCATCGGCATCGTCGCCAGTCTTGGGGTTGAACTCCTCGGCAAGGATCTGGTAGCGCGAGCTGGGGTTCTTGTTCTCCTTAATGACTTCGGTTGGCCGAACTGGCTTGGCGGACTGTTGGGGCTTCGTGGTGACTTCGCTGAGCTCTTCAGCAAGCTCCTCGTTGACGGTCTTGCGCTTGGGCTTTCCGCCCTTAGGAACGGTGGTCCAGGCAGAGTCCTCCATAGCAAGTCTCATCTGCTCTTCCTCTGAGGGTAGGGTACTGACAGGGGCAGCGGTCTTGGCAGCGCCGTTGGTAGGGGCGGCAGTCTTGGTAGCGGTTGAGGCAGGAGCCTCGAAGGTGTCGAGAAGCTGACCAGACGAAGCGGCCTTGGGAGGCTGGACGGCGCCGCGAGAAGGCACCTCGGTCCAGGGGTTGGAGGCGGGGGGCTTGCTCTGTCCGAGACCGTTCTTGGCCGGCTCACCGCGCGCCTCACGAGCGACACGACGCTGCTTCTCCTCGAGAGCCTTGCGCGCCTTCTCCTCCTCCTCGCGCGCGGCCTTGGCCTCCTCGACCTTCTTCCTGTTCTGGCGCTGCTTCTTGGACTCGGTCGCGACCTCGGCCTTTTGTGTCTGAGCCTTGACCGACTTGGCTGGCTTCTCGGAGGGCTTGATGCTCATGACAGCGGGCGAGGCGGCGCGCTCACCGAGCATGTCGGAGACGTCCTTGCCGCTCGGGGCCTTGTTGGTGTAGGCGGCGGGGGGCTCGACGGCGCTGTCGTCGGCAGCCTGCTTGGGGGCGGCCTGCGAGATGGTCGCGGCGGCCTTGTTGCCGGCATCCTGGACGGCCGTCTTGACCGACTTGCGAGGGGCCTTGGGCTTTGCAGCCTTCTGTGCCTTGGGCTTCTTCTCTGGGGTGTCCCAGCTGACTGCCTCCTTGAGCGAGCTGGTCGTCGACTTGCCCGTGGTCGAGCGTCCTCGGGTATCCGCCGTGTTGCCCTGGTGCATGTAGTACCAGTAGGCGGCGCCTCCAATGGCCAGGAACACGACCCAGCTCATCCACGGCTCCATGATGCAAGACGTGTGGTATGCAACGCTTCGAGGGTGCGGTGGTGGCTACTGCAAGACGTCCAATGTCAACACGGTACGATGGGGCAATGGGTTGGGGTGGAAGTGGCAGGCGGGTGAGGGAGCAGAGGGCCAGGGCAGTAGGATGACGGAGTATAGGGAGAGGGAAAAGGGGCTTACAGGTAATTGATTTTGTCTTAGCCCGGGCGTCGTAACGTGTGAAATTGACGCGTCGCACCGGCTGCTCTGCTCAACGGTTTCGATGGCGTTGCGAGAAGAGGCCAGGTAGGTCTTGATCCGCTTCGGGAGCTACTCAACCGTCGAGTGCAACCGCCGAATCGCCCACTTGACACGGGCGGCGCAGTTTGGGAGATGTATTGATTCACGTGCTACACATTCACATCGACTCGGCGTCGAGGCTAACAATGTAGGGCGGGAGACGGGGAATTGCTGGAGGTGGCAGAGTGAAGGCGCTCCATGTGGTAGTGAGCTTAGGAGTGCTCCCCCGTTCGGGATGCCACTAAGCAGGGGTCGACGGAGGCGCTGCAGCGGGTGAGTGCGTCACAGCAAGGCGATGATGATATTTCTGATATACGCCGAGTGACTTCTATTAATCTTCTTCTTGTTCTTCTATGCCGCATCTCACACGCCCGTCTTGCCATCGCATCTCAATAGCTTCCTGCGCGCCCACGAACAACTCGTAAAGGACACGAAGCATCAAGCACCTCGCGCGCGGAGGGCTAACTCCGAGTCCCGACACCCCCGACGGCGGCCTCTAACGTTTTAGGCGGCTGAACACCAAGCCATTCACAAGCCACTCACACGCTATTCATCATCTGCCGCTGCGTCATTGGCATCTCGCTGATATTGCGCCCTCGCACACAGCTGCATCTACTCTCTGTGCCACGCCCTTACTTTATCTAGTACTTGCGCTCGCCTGCTTAGCGCAGCAGGAGCGATGCACTTGTGGCTGCATCCACGAGTGACATGTGAAAGGCTTGGTATCGCCTTGCAGTACTCAACTACAGTCAGGAATAACAAAGAGGAATGGTAGCGACCAAAAGATATGACTCGGACGTTGACATTATTATAGCTCCATCGTGTATATCCAACATTATCCTACAAAGCCATGAAGGCCTTTCTACTCATAACTCGTTATTCGTGAGGCACCAAGAATGCCAACCATATCTCAGCAGACTTGGCTCGACCGAACCATATCCTCGACTGCGAAGATGAAAGAGGAGAGAAATCCCATGATGGCCATCCGAAGAGCACCTAGACATCCGTGCCTCAACTACGCCTCTTCGCAGCAGCCCCCTCCCCACCATCCTCACACTTCCTCTTCCTCCCCCCACCTCCCACCTCGCTATTCAAACTAGAACTGCGACTCATCGGAGGCGTCGCAGGCTTCATCGGAAACATAACTCCGTTCGGCGACGGTATCCTTGGTAATTGACCTCCCACCGCCGCCGCCGCAGCTTGTTGCTGTTGCTGCATCCGTTGCTGAGCCAACAGCGCCGCCTGATTCCTCTGCGCCATCTGCATCTGCCTCGCGATATCGCCCAGTCCCGGTCCCACGATATTCCTATCACCGATGATAGTCGCGCCGCAGTTGACCGTGATATTGATGTTGGAGTACCGCTTCACGCCTCTGACCTGCGTCGTAGACGTACACTCCCCCCGTGCCGTCGCCGTCGTCGGACTCTCTGGTGTAATCGGCCTGCCAGCCGCATCCTCCTCCTCCCCCATCTTCCCCGTCTCAATAGCCTCACCACTAAGTACAGTAGCAATAAGATTCGCTATCCTCACACTATCCATTTGTGCAATGGAGATGATGTTCCCGTGGCCCCGGATCTGGGTCGCGGCGTTGATTGTGATTTCGGGTGTGTCGTCTGGCGTTTCTTGCGTGTCGCAGTCTTCTTCTTGGGGGTCGTACGGGTTTGTCATGTTGGGGATGGGGAGGGTGGGGTCGACGACGGTGTGGTAGGGTGGGGGTGCTGGAATGTCGTCTTGGTATGATTGGTATGATGAGGAGTGTGCAGGAAGTGTGTTGAACGGTGTGGATAATGGGGTGGTGTGGAATGTGGTGGCTTTTGCGTTGGATACTGCTGCGTTGTTGGTGCGGAATGGGTCCATGGCATATATCAATGGATGTTTCTTTTGGCCAAGAAATCACTTCTCGTGGCTTGGAAGACACTGTCTGTGGGTATCGTGATCGTGAGGTTGTGGCGTGATGTTGGTGTGATGGGTTAGGCGGCGGTCATGCGAGTTCGGTAACCGTACTGGCAAATGTCGATGGTTAAACGCTTTGCCGATAGATGTCGCGCGACCACGAAGATGGATAGGAAGATGCAATAAACTGGTATATGATCGTGATATGACGATGCAGTAATACCGTCGATGCAGTTTGCTACTCGGTATTGGTATCCTCTCGTCGTTCGCACAATAACTATATCCAAAGTCAGCAAAACCCATCCATCATTAAATACTCCAAGAACAACTCACATATAAACCTCGAATACACGCACATTCACAAACCTCATTCCCCGAAGCATGCCACCAAGCAACCTATATATACCCACCCACCCGCTGCAGTGGACGCCCCAATCCTCCCGCGTCCGCCCGCCTTCCGCCTTATTCACACCTGCACCCCCACACCTGAAACACCCAACACAATACCTAGCACAATAGGAAGGGACGCGCGACAACACAAACATACCTGGTATGCGCCACATACTTCTGCATAATAGCTAGCAGTAGTCTAGTCTAGACCCGTTACCGGCAATCAAGTTTGCGTACCGAGCCTTTCCGGGATGGATCCATTGTTGCTATCATGCTATTGTGTTCAATAAACGGAGGGCTAGTCTAGTTTCGGACGTGGGAAAGAACGACTGGTTGATCTCGATGACGGTATCATGGGCCGCGGGTTTGAAGGATGGGAGGATTTTATTTAGGTCTGGGGTTAGCGAATGTGTGCGAGGCAACGTACAAGGTGTGTGGATGGTGATGAATATGAGTAAACCCAAGGTGGCTAAGCGCGCGTGTACAGCCTTGCCGTAGCTGGAATGACAATAAGGATGAGGATCGTGATCTACCAACTACTATGTCACTACTTCGAGGATAGTGACTTGATTGGTTGCCAGCTACCTACCTGTGTAACACAAGAATCCATCTATCACGTTCCTTCTCTGCAACTTCCCTGGCCATCGTCACGTTCCCACCTGCACCATTTGTGCAACATCGTACGAAACCGGGTAAAATGTATGCTGGTCGTTTCTTCCTTGATCAAAGTACCTAGGTAGCCATCTGCGCGGTGGTTGGGTGGTGAGCGGTCCTGCACCATTTCGCTTGCTATTGTGTTTCTATTGAACACGCCAGCCATGGATACCTACCTAGGTACATTCAGCACGTGAGGTGCGGAGCTAGGGTACGAGAAGCGTTGATGTACGTGTAATGAGACATGTGTGTTGGCTCATGCGTTGGTATGTCTAGGAGTCATGATGATCGTTGATGCAGATGGGTGGATGACTAAGTACGTGGACGGTGGTTGTGACGCTTTGGGTGCACAATAGGAAGATGGGATGGGACAATAGGATGGGGGTTGGAGTGGTGCCACACATGAACAAGTTCCTTCGCGGTTTTGTGATACGAATGTGAGGCTAAAATTCTGTCCTAGTACAACTGACAACTTTTGCATCTTGAACTAAAAACAGAGTCTTGCAAACCTGATGTCCAAAGTCGTATTCATACAAAAGCTTAACACTACGGCTTGCGAACTCCTCCGAAAAAAAGCCACATCGCTGCATTCTTCTCAATACGAAGCCACGATGCTTTGACACGCCACCCACGCGCACTCCCACCGCCATCAGCGCCACGCAACGTGCCCAAATCCGGCGCTCTTCTGCGCTCAACCTCAATACCAGTCTCCACATCGACGCGAAGAGTCATGATAGGCTGAATGCGATACGAAAAGGACGCGTGGCCAAGGCAACACACAATAAGGCGCCAAGAAAAGGAAGGAAGGAACAATAGGAATGCATATGCACTGCCAGCTAGTAGGTTATACACTATCTGTCCTCTGTCGATCGTACGATTCCTTGTGTGTGTACAGGCAGGGGATATGGGGGGACTGGGAATGGGAAAAGCCGGAGCTGTGCCGCATCTTCGATGGCTGAGCCAGTGCCAGTTTGTTGGAGAGTCCGCTGCCGTACCCGTACCCGTGTCTGCAAGGCAGACATGTGCCGGTGCGTGCGTGCAAACCAAAACCATGGCACTGGTCCTTCAAAATGGCAAAAGTCCTCCAAATGGACCTAGACGACGGAAGTTGAACCCAGCCAATTAGGCAACACACTATGCTGCAATCCCGTAAAGGACAAGAAAGTTACGTTGTTTTACAAGCCCTGCTGTCGTGATGAACACGATGTCGAGCCCAAGACGCCACGCTCCATGAAATGCGATAGAACATCAAACACCCACCGGCAGTGTCCAGGAACGGAAAAGAAATGCCGTTCGGATGGATAACTGCGATCCAGGCTGAACCCCTAACACCGATGAAGTAAACCCCTTCACAGACAACTGCAAGTCTATCACCGCTGTGGTCGGTACTGTTGGACTTCATGTTGTGGCCGTTCGTGATAGAAGAGGTTTTCCGACCAAGGCGGCAACTTCTTGTCTCGTTCGTAGAGGTAGCCACAGTTGTTGCAGAGAGTGCGTGGGCCTTTTGGACCGTCGCGGACAGCCCAGACGGCAGTTCCCCAGACCCAGCAGTGTGCGCATCTCCATGTTTGTCGCTCCCTGTGGTGGTTGTTAGTTCCAATATCACAATGCACAATGCCAGTATTGTCACATACCCTTCTTGGAGCCCTCCACCCTGCCCGCCATAGCCGGATCCTCCTTCGGCGCTTGGCGTGCCTCTTCCAACTGGGCTCAAACTCCTGAATCGTCTCTTCTTTTTGCTGCGCTCGCCGCGGCCCATGTTCTCTTGTCCTTCGATGTTGTTGAAGAATTCGTTGGCGGGTTGGCCCGTCATGTTTGCGGTCGAGGAAAAGCGCGCTGTCTCTCTGCGTAGTCTTCGGATCTGCCTTTCACGGTCCCCCTCGCGCTTCTCGATTTCTTCAGGTGATAGGATTTCCACCTTCGGTTCCCATTCGTCACAGAGATGCTCTTGGTCGTATCTCCAACCTGCACCAATAGTAGGCTCTACTGCATCGTTGTCGATCTCGCCGTCGCCCACTAAACCGCCATTCTCGCAGGCTTCCTTCTTAAGTCGCAGGACTGCTTCGTAGATGCTATGTGTCATGGCGTTCACCCATTCTCCCGATAGCCCCAGATCCGCGCACGTCGTCTTAGCAAACATCTCGGCGAAACCTGGTGGATGTAATAGCGACCACTCGAACTTGTCGGTGTACAATCGGTTCATGAGGTTGATGTTGAGCGTGACGATGCAGCGGTAGGTATCGTCTGGATTGTGAAGCTCCTCAGACGGCATTGCGGTCGCAGTTGCGCTGATACCATTTGGAATGCCCGCTGGCGTCTGTGCGCCGTTGGTATGCGATACGCCGTTGGTCATAGGGGTCGACGCGCCGTTCGTGGCTGGTACTTGTGGTGTTGAGGTGCCATCGCGGGACGACGCAGGCAGTGCGGTCTTGCCGTTTGTTCCTTGGACAGCGGGCGAGTTTGCAGAGTGGAATAGAGGGTGTAGCGCAACACCGGCATATTCCTCCAACTGCTGCCGAATCTGATTTGCGACTTGGGAGATTATGAGGGGCTTTCGGTCGTTTGGCAAATCTAATTCATCGACGAACTGCTTCGCAAATTGATCGGGTGTCGTTAAGGCCTCGTGCAAGTTCCAAAGGAACGAGTCCTTGAGTCTGTATGCGGGAGTGACGTCGGGTTGTTTGTAGGCGGGCAGGTTCTCGTTGATACCGAACTCTCGCGCGTTGGAGGGCGTTGGGAGAGGTGCCTCAGGCCGGAAAGCCTGAATGTCCATGTCTATTCGAATCGGAATCAACGTGACAGGCAAGACTGACTGCGTCTGGACTTGCTTCTCGGTGCTGCACTATGTTAGCCTTCTATTGCGAGATGTGTCCCATGGCTCAATCCTGCCACCATGCCACATACAGTGTACGCTTCGGCCTGCCCATCCAGTCTCGCCAGATTCCCTGTATGTCGACTGGCGCAGTGAGCTCCTCGCCCAGTGCTGCTATTTGCGCCGTGTGGTCTGCGCTGTTGGGGTCGATCTTCTGTACGCTTCGCAGGCCTGTCGCACGTCGCGGCCGATCGCTGTCCTCGAAATCGTCATCATCGTAGGCATCCTCCGCGTAGCTGAGAACGGCAGTTCCGCGTTTTGTCACGCGCGGCGCAGGGAGGGTATTCGAAGGCGGAACAATGGGCGATATCAGCGAATTTCCGTGGCTTCGCAGTCGCGGCGCATAACTCGACATGAAGGCCTGGGGCGGCGCCGTCTTTCCCGTACTCGTAAACATGGCTGTTGACACGGTCGATGGTCGTGTAGGAGATGTGAGGAAGCTCAGCAGAGCTCGCGAACACTAAACGCGTCGCGATGTCGATGGGGCCTCCGAATGCGGCGAATGGGTCACGGGGTCCGTCAGAAGGCTGGTCGATTCGCGATTACCCCTGCACTGTGACCGATAGGGAAATCCGTTCGAATTGCGACTGCTTTTGCGCGTCCCTGGCTGGTGACGGATGCTTTCGCGGTTGCGTTCCAGCTAACGTTGCCAAGACCTGCTAGTCCGCAAGCGTCCCAGGGTTCTCAAGGCTGGGGGCTCTTTCCAATGTCTGCCCTTCACCTCACCTGCCCAGGTGCTCACTTCACGATGTATGACAATACCCTTGATGCACCAGAACACGCCATCGATGTACCAATCACTGCGCATTATGAACGTTATGTTGCAGCACAGCGCGCTGTGACCCAAAAACACTCTCAATTCATCCACATTCATCAGATCACCATTCCCACGTGCCCAAAGTCTTTCAGTCACACGCGCTCTCTGCTTGCTCCCTGGGAGCGGAGTATGGATGGCAAGAGTTGGAAAATCTGAAACGCGTTTATGCCTTCATTCCGCCTGGGTAACTAGTGGCGCTTAACTGTCTCCACCAGGATATTTCTTGCCGCT